TGTTTTTTCAGTTATTATAGATGGAAAGAGAAAGGTGTGGGGGCTGACCCAGTGAGCTTGATGTTTTTTGATCATGGATCTTGTTTGTAGTTCTCTTTTTGTTTTTGTATAATTTCTCAAATAAAACTTATTATTAAAAAAAGATAATGTCAACTGGCAATTTATGAAGCAACAGATGGCCCAAATGGAGTTTGGTGAAGTTTATTAATCCAATATCAAGCATTTATCAAAAGCAGTCGGCTAGGATTATAATTAATGGAGAATTTACAAAGGTTATAGAGATACAAAAGGGTACAAGACAAGGATGTCCGTTATCACCTCTGTTGTTTATACTGTTGTTTATACTGAGTTTATACTGAAGTGTTGAATACAAATATCTGGGATGATGCAGGCATTAAAGGTACCAGAATCAGAGATGAAAGCTCTGAATTGCAAGCATTTGCTGATGACCTGGTTTTCATAATGGAGGAACCCTTTGCAACAATGCCTAAACTCCTACAAAGGATTGAAGAATATGGTGAGGTTACTGGGATGAAAATGAATAGAGAAAAGACAAAACTGTTTGTAAAAAATTTTACACAAGACCAGAGAAAAACCCTGCAGAAACAAGTAGATTTGCAGATTGTCAAAAAGGTTAAGTATTTGGGAATTTATCTTACAGCTAAGTGTACTACTCTGAAAGAAGACAATTATGACAAACTATTGAAGGATATTAGGAGCGATTTGGAAAAATGGGCCAATTTGCAATTATCCTTGCTGGGAAGAATAGCACTAGTTAAAATGAATATATTACCAAAGCTTCTGTTTCTATTCCAAATGATTCCCATAAAAATTGATAGAAAGTTTTTTGATGATTTAAATTTTCAAATCTCGAGATTTATATGGAGAAAGAAGAAACCAAGGATTAAATTAAAAATACTTCAGGAAGCTAAAGAGAACGGGGGTTTTGGTCTCCCTGACTGGATGTTGTATTATCAAGCTTCTGTTTTAACATGGCTAAAAGAACATCCCGTTTCTGGGCAAGGTGTTGGAGCGAGTGGTGGCGGGACAACTCCAAGCACTCTTGGATGAAACTGATTATCTGGATCCTTTTCAGTCCGGCTTCAGACCCGGGTACAGTACTGAATCTGCCTTGGTCGCCCTGTACGACGACCTGTGCAGGGAGAAGGACAGGGGGAGTACATCCCTGCTGGTTCTTCTGGACCTCTCGGCGGCTTTCGATACCATCGACCATGGTATCCTTCTGGATAGCCTTGTGGGATTGGGGGTTGGAGGCACTGCTTTGCAGTGGTTCCGCTCCTATCTCAACGGTCGATTCCAGAAGGTAGTGTCTCTACGTCATGGCAGCTATGCCATGGAGTACCACAGGGCTCCATTCTATCCCCTCTGCTATTTAACATCTATATGAAACCGCTGGGAGAGGTCATCAGGAGGTGTGGGCTGCGGAATCATCAATACGCTGATGATACCCAGCTTTACCTCTCGTTTTCCACTAATCCAGGTGAGGCAGTGGCTGTGCTGAACTGGTGCTTGGCCGAGGTAAGGGAATGGATGAGGGCAAATAAACTGAAACTCAACCCAGACAAGACGGAGGTCCTGTTGGTTGGCGGATCGGGTTTCGGAGAGGGTGGATTTGACCTGGTCCTGAATGGTGCAACACTCCCTCTTAGGGACAAGGTCCGCAGCTTAGGAGTACTCCTCGACCCGGAGCTTTCTTTGGAAGCTCAGGTGACAGCGGTGGCGAGGAGCGCCTTCCTTCAGCTTCGGCTGATTAATCAGCTGCGCCCCTACCTGGAGTACGACTGCCTGGCGACGGTGACACACGCGCTGGTGACTTCCCGCCTAGACTTCTGTAACGCGCTTTACGTGGGGCTTCCCCTGAAGACAGTCCGAACACTTCAATTGGTGCAAAATAGAGCTGCCAGGTTGCTGACGGGGACGGGGCGTTATGCTCACATGACTCCAGTCCTCCATCAGCTTCACTGGCTTCCCATTGAAGCCCGGGCCCAATTCAAGGTGTTGATTATGACCTACAAAGCCCTAAACGGCTTGGGTCCTGGCTACCTGAACGAGCGCTTACGTCCGTATATGCCCGACCGCCCTTTGAGATCTGCGGGAGAGTCCCTTCTCCGGGAACCCTCCATGAAAGAAATTAGGAGAGTAAGTACCCGGAGGAGGGCTTTCTCTGCGGTGGCGCCCAACCTATGGAATTCACTCCCCAAAGAGGTCCGCCTAGCACCGTCGTTACTGGTTTTTCGGCGCCAGGTAAAGACCTTTTTATTTAAACATCATTTCAATTGTTAAAACATATGATCTGGCCTGGGCAACTTCTTCTTCCTTCTCTTTCTCCTCCTATATTTTTATTTTATACTGATAATTTTAATTTTGTATTTGTAAATCAATGTATTTTTTTGTATTTTTATATTTAATGGTAATTTATTATGTACTATTGTATTTCAATGTATTTTATCATGTTGTAAGCCGCCCCGAGGTTTCGGCAAGGGGCGGCATAGAAGTGTTAATAATAATAATAATAATAATAATAATAACTTTAAGAAATAAGAGAATTTTGTATCTTGAAGGGCATGATTTGCAAATGGGCTGGCACACTTATATGTGGTATGAGAAGGCTATGTCACATGGTTCTTTTTTAAGTCACTGTATTAGAAAATCATTAATGTCAGTGGGGGAAAAGTTAAAGATAAAACTGTATAATAAATTACCAAGATGGCTTTCACCCATGGAAGCTTTTGTGTATCCAAATGCATTGAATTTTGAAGGGATTATAAGATATGATGACATTTTGGATAAGGATGGAGGACTGAAATTCAATCATGAAACACAAGAACAGGGAGCTGATATCTCTTGGTGGCATAAGGTGCAGATACAATCGAGATATGCTAAAGATTGTAAAGCGTGGGGTTTTTATAAGGACTTAACAGCATTTGATCAAGTGATGCTTAAATCAGATGCGAAAATGATTAAAAGATTATATGACTTCTTACTTGATAGGAAAATGGAAGATGAACAGGTTAAGGAAACTATGATAATGTGGGCACAAAACTTTGGATATAATATTGAATTAGAAAAGTGGCAAAAGCTGTGGGAGAGAAATATTAAGGTAACATTAGCAACTTCATATAAAGAAAACTTGTATAAAATGTTTTATAGATGGTATCTGTCACCAAATAGATTAGCTAAGATGTTTCCAAATATGTCAAATGGATGTTGGAAATGTAAACATAAATTGGGTACTTTTTATCATATGTGGTGGACTTGCGATAATGTGATAAAGTATTGGATTAAAATACATAAATGGCTTGAGGAAATGTTACAAAAATCCTTAGCTTTTAAACCTGAAGTTTTTTTATTAGGCATTATACCGGAGGACATTAATAAACAAGAAATGTATTTGATTTTACGTGTAATCACTGTGGTGAGGATTGCATTTGCTCAACACTGGAAAAGTGAAGAACTTCCCACCGATGAACTGATTCTAAAAAAGATCCTGGACTGTGCAGAAATGGATAGATTGAATTTATCATTGAAGGAGAAGGAAGATACTGACTTCTATCAAACTTGGGACTCTTTTTATTATTGGCTAGAGAAATGGGATTTCGCATAGATTTAAATACGTTTTTTAAGTTATCATAAATAGAAAAAAAGGGTGGGGGCTGACCCAGTGGGCTCGATGTTTTTGATGATGGATGTTGTTTGTAGTTTTCTTTTTGTTTTTTTTAGGATTATAATTTTTCAAATAAAACTTATTTTAAAAAAAACCATGCATGGAGGCTGTTCCAAGTCCCACCCCACTAGACAGGTGGAAGCCGAGGAGCAGAGGGGGCAGAAGGCAGGAGTCACAATCCAGCTCCCCCAGCCATGTTATTGCATGGGAAGATGAAGGTGAGAAATGGATGATGGGCTTCAGGGTTGGCCCTGCTGTGCAACTTCTGCAGGTGGTGCAGTTTAGGGGGACAGATGAAAGCAGTAACTGATGACTTAACTCGTGTGTGTGTGACAGTGTTGGCAGTAGCGGGAGCTGTTTGGTGTGCTCCTTTTAGCAGCAAAATGCCTTGCTGAGTGATGGGGCCCTGCGAGGTAGAGCCCGGATCTCCAATGGTGGCCACAGGCTATGACATCACAGGACGACCTCAGAGCTGAGGTTCTAGAAGCCAGCGGAACTACTGCTTCCTGGGTGGGATGTGTTGGCTAGTGCCTCTTGCTGGGCTGGGGAAGAACTTTGGTGTGGCCCTGGAGAGGTTCAGCCGGACACTAGGGCAAAGGTAGGCCCTTTAGCACTGCATGGCTTCTGGTGTTCTAATCTCTGCATCCTTGAGGAAATTGCTGAGCTCCGCAACTTTCCCACACTGAAAAGGATGTCAACTTCATCCACATGTGGAGAAGTGCATTTGGGTTAGTCATTCCTAATTGTGCTGTGATGTGCCAATGTGGAAACTGCACTTCTGTCTACTTAATCACGGACCAGTTGTGGCAGCTTAATAATAAACTTTGTTTGCCAGATGCATCATGGAGCTGCCCCAAACTCATTTGCAGCCTGACACAAAGTGCAAGATGGCAGTCTCTGCCATACACAAACACACACACCAGTGCCTCAAATTCTGCACACAATAGCCAACCGGACTGACAGTTGAATCTTACTTTCCTGCTGGTGACAGGGCGTCCTCCACTGATGGCACAAGGCTAGCTGGAGGGAATAGGGCAAACCACCCAGCTCTGACCTTCAACATCTCCTCTCCTCTCCCTGCTTCCTGACTGCCTGAGATGGCTGCCTCGCTCTGCCTCATGGTGGGGCCAGCCTTTATGCAACACCACACGGCTGGTCTCCTTTCTGCACCAAAATAGCTCTCTGGTACAGAATGCATTATTTCCCTGTGCTGGCCAGTGCTTCTCCTCTCTTTGCAGACCTCGCTGGCCTGAAAGAGTGCCTTCTTCCCTTCTCCTTAAAACCAGGGGTAGCAGGTTCAAGTCACCGTGGAGAGATGAAGGCCCTTCTGCTGCTGTTGCCCATGGTGGCCAGCCTTGCAGTGAAAGTCCAAGGCAAGATTTACAGTCGCTGTGAGCTGGCATCACTCCTGAAACGTTGGGGAATGGATGGGCATGAGGGCTACAGTTTGGCAGACTGTGAGTAGCCCACACAGGCGTGTCTACTCTGCTTATTGCATTTGGTGAGAAGGAGCAAAGCCGGTTTGCTTGGCTGGAAATGCCAGAACTGACCTTGTAAGAAGGTGTAGCTTGTAGAAAACATGGGGTGGGTGAACAGAAATGGAAGTGCATCCCAAGCACCCAGTCTTCCAGCGACTGTGCCTGGCTGTAAAAAAGGCTTTTCATGCATACGTTAAAATTACTTTAATTTATATACCATTATTTTCAGGTGGAAATTTCTCAGGTTGAACTTCCAGGTTGCAAATGAGGCAGTTGGTTTTGCATATAGACTAAGAGCGTGAACAGTGAATCAGGACATCTTCACTTCAAATCATGCCTCTGCTGTGAACTCATTGTTTGGGTTCAGACAACACAAAGGTTGAGTATGGATTTAATGTGGGTTGTTGCTGAAATGCAGGCTGTTCTTGAAATGTGGGTTCTCATGTTATTTGAGCTCAGCTGTGCCATGAACAATCCATGAAAAGAGCCCATGACGTGTATGTGGGTTGTTGATTGCCGGTTGTTCAACATTGTTTGATACATGGCTGGGTTCAGACAACACAGTAAACCATGTTTCAACAACCACCCCATGGTTCAGAAATAACCTATGTCTAATCCATACTCAGCATTGGAGTGTGGTGGGTTATTATGTTGTCTGAACCCAGACATTATGACCTTAGAGAAGCTGCTCTTTCTCTCAGCCCTCTGGCTCCTCTGTCATCACTAGAATCAGAGCTCTTCCGGTAGAGCTGATTGGCAGGAGATTTCAGGACAAACAAAATAGTTGTTCACACAGCTCAAAGTTAACTTACGGTCATGAATTCTATAGGTTAATCATGTGCTTTTTTGTCACTGCCCCAAGTTGTGGTGACAGCTACTAGGTTAGATGGCTTTGCAAGGGAATCAGGCAAATTCATGAAAGATCAGCCCATCAGTGGCTCCTAGTTTTTATCAGGCTGTACATCAGAGGCAGTACATCTCCAAAGGCCAACATATGTACCAATGTATGTGCACACACTGCTATATGAGCACATTTCTCAGAGAGAAGACGGCCCGACCCATGAATGTGGACACACTCTGGACCTGGTTTTCTCGACGGGGCAGGAAGAGGGTGACCTGAGGGTGAGAAATTTATGTTTGACTCCCCTGTCATGGTCAGATCACTTCCTGGTGAGGTTTGTGCTTGAGAGTGACCTCTCCTTCTGTAAGGGTACGGATCCGATTGTGTGGGTCTGCCCCTGGACCCGGATGGACCCGGATGGATTCCTGAAAGCCCTGGGGGAATTTCCGGCTGACAAGACTGGTGCTCCTGTTGAGGCTCTGGTCGATCTGTGGAACAGGGAGATGACCAGGGCTGTGGACACGATTGCTCCTAAGCATCCTCTCCCACCGGGCAGAGCCCGCTCTTCCCCTTGGTATACACCTGAATTGCAGGCGATGGAGCAGGTTGGGAGACGGCTAGAGCGTAGGTGGAGGAAATCACGGGATGAATCTGACCGAACACACCTGAGAGCCCACTATCGGGCCTATGCTGTGGTGGTGAAGGCGGCGAAAAAGAAGTTTTTTTCCGCTTCCATTGCCTCCTCACAATGCTGTCTGGCAGAGCTTTTTCGAGTGGTGCAAGGCCTGGTTCGCCCGGGTCCTAAGGAAGATCCGGTTCCACCCTCAAAGGTCCACTGTGACGACTTTGCCAGGCATTTCAGGGAGAAAATCGCTCAGATTCGTCACGAGCTGGACTCCACTAATGAATCAGAGGTTTCTGGGGAGACGCCAATGCTGCCGTCTGGTCCAGAATTATTGGATGAATTTCAGTTATTGCGGCCCGATGATGTGGACAAGGTGCTTGGACGAGTACGTCCCACCACTTGCCTATTGGACCCTTGCCCGTCTTGGTTAATAAATAATTCCAAGCACGGGATTGGGACCTGGATCTTGGAAGTGGTTAACCCTTCTCTGAGGGAGGGTCGGGTGCCTGCCCCTTTAAAGGAGGCGGTAGTCCGACCGGTCCTGAAGAAGGCGTCACTGGATCCAGAGATGGCCACTAACTATAGACCAGTGGCCAACATCCCATTTCTGGGCAAGGTATTGGAGCAGGTGGTGGCAGGACAACTCCAAGCACTCTTGGATGAAACTGATTATCTGGACCCATTTCAGTCCGGCTTCAGACCCGGGTACGGTACTGAATCTGCCTTGGTCGCCCTGTACGATGACCTGTGCAGGGAGAAGGACAGGGGGAGTGCGTCCCTGTTGGTTCTTTTGGACCTCTCAGCGGCTTTTGATACCATCGACCATGGTATCCTTCTGGATAGGCTAGTGGGATTGGGGGTCGGAGGCACTGCTTTGCAGTGGTTCCGCTCCTATCTCAACGGCCGATTCCAGAAGGTAGTGCTGGGGGACTATGGCTCTGCACCATGGCAGCTATGCCATGGAGTACCACAGGGCTCCATTTTGTCCCCTTTGCTGTTTAACATCTATATGAAACCACTGGGAGAGGTCATCAGGAGGTGTGGGCTACGGAATCATCAATACGCTGATGATACCCAGCTCTACCTCTCATTTTCCACTAATCCAGGTGAGGCAGTGGCTGTGCTGAACCGGTGCTTGGCCGAGGTAATGGGTTGGATGAGGGCCAATAAACTGAAGCTCAATCCAGACAAGACAGAGGTCCTGTTGATTGGCGGATCGGGCTTCGAAGAGGGTGGATTTGACCTGGCCCTGAATGAGGTTGCACTCCCTCTTAGGGACAAGGTCCGCAGCTTAGGAGTACTCCTCGACCCGGAGCTTTCATTGGAAGCTCAGGTGACAGCGGTGGCGAGGAGCGCTTTCCTTCATCTTCGGCTGATTAATCAGCTGCGCCCCTACCTGGAGTACGACTGCCTGGCGATGGTGACACACGCGCTGGTGACTTCCCGCCTTGACTTCTGTAACGCGCTTTACGTGGGCCTCCCCTTGAAGACGGTCTGGATACTTCAATTGGTTCAAAATAGAGCTGCCAGGTTGCTGACGGGGACGGAGTGTTATGCTTACATGACTCCAGTCCTCCGACAGCTTCACTGGCTTCCCACTGAAGTCCGGGCCCAATTCAAGGTGTTGGTTATGACCTATAAAGCCCTAAATGGCTTGGGACCTCGTTACCTGAAGGAGCACTTACATCCATATATGCTCGACCGCCCCTTGAGATCTGCGGGAGAAGCCCTTCTCTGGGAACCCTCCGTGAAAGAAATTAGGAGCGTATATACTTGGAGGAGGGCTTTCTCTGCGGTGGCGCCCAATCCATGGAATGTGCTCCCCAGAGAGGTCCACCTGGCGCCGTCGTTATTTGTTTTTCGGCGCCAGGTGAAGACCTTTTTATTTAAACATCATTTTAATTGTTAACAATATTTACTTATTTATCTGGCCAGGGTGACTTCTTTTCTTTTCTTTTATAACTTTTCTTTTATAACTTCTTTTATATCGTTTATATTTTTTATTTATTTTATATTATTAATTTTAATTTTATATTGTTATTTTTATATTGTATTGTGTCATAAGCCGCCCCGAGGCTTCGGCAAGGGGCGGCATAGAAATGTTCTAATCATCATCATCATCATCATCTTCATCATCAGGGGACAGTATCCATGAAAGCTGATGCCACAATACATTTCCTTGTCTTTAAGATGCCACAAGACTCTTTGTTGTTTTCATTGTGATAAGAACAACACATCCCGGTAATCCCCCAGTCCTTCATAAAACCCTTAAGTCAATCAGGATTCCTCTCTTGTACTACGTGCGTGTGCGCGCACACACACACACACTACACACAGAGAACCAACAGTCCAGCTTTTCAGTTGCAAGGGCTGCTAATCTGGCCTTGGGCAACCTGGATTCAAACCCATATTTTTGCCTGCAGAATACAAAGACAAGAAATGAGAGGCAAGGACACAGATGCTTTCTGCAAGACAAATCTGGCTTGTGGTCTCTCCTAGTAGCCTTTTTCCTGCAATAAACGTCAGCACATGCAGTAATTGGTTGCTCTCTCCCTGTAGGGATCTGCCTGGCATATTTTGCAAGTAACTTCAACACAGCCACTGTGACGCAGGACTCAGACGGAAGCTCAGAATACGGTATCTTCCAGATCAACAGCCGCTCTTGGTGTGCTGACCATCGCAGTCACTCAAAGAACCTCTGCAGCCTCTCTTGCCATGGTAGGGGCTTCCCGACAAGACCAGGGTGAGGGGGGTGGCAAATCTACCAATATTTATTTGTTAATTATATTTATACCCCACCTTTCTTCCTGCAAGGAATCCAGGGTGGCTTTTAGAATGCTCCTCTTCTCCATTAAAGCCTCACAACAACCCTGTGAGACAGGGCAGGTAGAGAATCAGTAACTGGCTGAAAGTCGCCCAGTAAGGGCTGCATGGCTGAGTGGGAACTAGAACCCACATCTCCTGAGCCTCAGACCAATGCTCCAACCTGTATGCCTCATTGGGAAGTGTGTGCGGATACACTGCTGCGTTTCTTTACTCCTTAGAACAGAGATGGGTAACTTCTGTCCTTTATGATGTTTTGGCCTACAACTCCTATTAGCCCTGTCCAGCGTAGTCCATGGTGCAGGATGATGATGTGGAGATTTCTATACTGCCTGCAGCTGAAGCTCTCTGGGTGGTTCGCAACAGTTAAGTCACCCATCCAGATTTCAACCAAGACAGGCCCTGCTTAGCTTCCAAGATTAGTCAGAATCAGGCACTTCAGGCTATATGGAAACTCTATGGGAATTTTAACTCAGAGTATCAGGTTTTTGAGAGCTTTGGGCAAGTCACCCTCATGCAGCCTCCTCCCCTCCGAGTCTACCTCCTCAGTGCCTTGGTCATGGGCTGCTGCTGCTGCTGCTCTCATACCTCTTCCCCAGCACTGCTAGCACATGCCTCCCTGCTTGACAGCCTGAGCTGGGGCAGCAGGAGGCAAATCTCACCTCCTTCTCACCAGCACTGCTTCCTGAGCCGAGAAGCAGGTGGACACCAAGGCTTGAATGGTGAAGAGGAGGAGACACTCCTGGGTGCTTGCCACATGCCCTTGCTGCGATGCGGGCCCTGAGCATGTGCCTGGCTGTGCCTACCTTGGATGCCAGCCCTGACCTGGAAGGCCACCCATTGCCCACCCCTGTCCTAAACACAGGTCGGGGGCTTCGGGCCACTGGCTGGGATCAGCACAGCAAGACAGCCTGTTAGCCTAGCTGACCAGTGGCCACACATTTAAGGATGCCTCTCTGTATTTAAGGAATGGCCCGTTGAAAATGCTGTGGTGGCAGTTGATGTGGAAGTCCCTCCAAGGTCCTGGAGGACCACTGTTGATCAGAACAGACAGTGGGGGGCTAGCTGATCAAGCACTCTCACTGGAGAAGGCCGCTTCCTCCATGCCTGAATTGAATTATTCATTAATGGCACAATCCTATACATGTTTAGACAGAAAATAGGCCTTCCAAGCTAGGCTTATATCTGCTTTGCACAATGGCCTAGTGTGTAAAGCACTTTCAGTGCTTTGGAAACCTGTCACAGGAATATGAGCACATTTTCCCAAGAATGCTAGCAGATAGACAACTTTTCTCAGCCTCTGATCACTGGATCCCACACTCCTGGAGCATAGTATCTTGGATTTCTTTCTCCCACGACACTGCTCTTGGCCCCCTGCAATCTAGCATATGCCCTTTTCACTCTGCTGAAATAGCTAAACATTGACTAATGGTTTGGTACAAATAGAAATTTGTGATATAGTATACAGTAATGTAATCATCACTATACTAATACTGGATTAATTATATTTTGTTCTACCATGTTGCAACATTTCTCCCTTATCAACCAGATTTGTTGACCAACTATATTATTGATGACATCATCTGTCTCAAGAGAGCTGCTGCAAGTCCAGAAGGGTTGGAAGCCTGGTAAGGAACTGAGTTTGTCTTTCACAAGATTTGTTCTTCCGAAATGTCCACCCACCCAGGGTAATTCACAGTTCCTGATATCTGTCCATCGAGTAATCTTTTCATCTCTATTCATTCTTCATTAAGCATATGAAGAAATCTTTTTTTTCCAGTGGGTTTTTCCTGGTGGTGTGAAAAGGACTGAATGATGCTCTGGATTTTTGGCTGACCTGCCTGAGAGCATCATGCTAATCAAACTTTGCCTTCCAGATGAGCATTTGAGCAGGAGCAATATTAAAAAAAAACTCATCTGGAGATCTCCAGTCCAGCAGGACCTCCAAATCCTTTGACAAGAACCCAGGGCCAGCTTTACTATTAGACCAAGTAAAGCAGCTGTCTCAGGCAAAGATCTGGGTGTCACAGAAGTGTCACAAATTGTTAACTATTTACTAGATTATTGCTGAATTTGTAGTGCTGGGGTTGGGAAGGGTGTTTATTGGATTTTCTGCCTCATGTACCAGTGTAACTTGGCCAGCTTTAGATGCTTTGCAGCTTCCCTGAGGGCATAGAAGGAGCCCTTTGCTGCTCCACTTCAGGCAGCAAAATCTCTTGGGCCAGGATCTAGAGCCTCACCAGGCCACTAATCAGCAGTTCAGATCGGCCACAGGTGAGAGGTTTGCCATGAGATTTTTGCAAGGCTGGCAGAGCAAAAGTAAAACAAGACATGCATACCAAGAAGGCTAACACAACGGCAGGGAGAACGAATCAAAAGCCTCAGACAATTGGGTGTTGTAAACCTAGGTCTCTTCTGTATTATGCAGATTGCTTACATGCTCAAAAACTGACTAAATAAAAAAATTAAATCCCTGAGTATAAAACAAGTAAAATCAGGCTAGGCTAAAAGGGTTCTCTCTGATATCTAGTTTTCTGTGTGCAGAAATGTGTTTGAGTGGTCGTGCATACTGCTGTGTGAGCCTCCACCTGCAGGCCAAAATGGTACCGCCTGAGTATAGATGGGACACCTCCCTTTCTGTCTTTCCTGAATGATTTGCACAAATCACTTACACAAAAGGAATTTCTCAGCTCTGTACAAAAACAAGTCTTCAAACAAAGGACACAATTACCTTTCTGGGAATTCCTGTTGCTGCAACAGGTATGATTTCAGTAGGCATTGAATGAAAACCCAGAAGAGTTGGTGCTGGCCTAATTTATATTGGTAGGTCAGTGAAAAGAAGACTCAGGGGAATTCCCTCTAGTAACAAAGAGAGGGGCTAAGTCATGGAAACTGTCTAAACTGGAGAGGGAGGGAGGGAGGTTGTAGGAGGATAGTATGATAAATCACATGGTTTCCATGTTCTTGGTAAGTCCTTGTGGCGTCTTTGTAATGCTGTGTCCAGATGGTGATTTTGATCATAGATGTGTGCATCTTCAGGGCATGTCTTTGCACTTTCTACAGCCAGAATCTTCAGCCTTTGTTGGACATCTGTTGAAGAAGAGGCCTGGTACATCAGACCCAGCGGCCAGCTAGTCCACCCCTCAAACAGCAGCAAAGGAGTGGCCCAGAACTGGCCGCTGGGCAGGGCCTGAGCATTGTGGCAGGGCTGGCAATGCCAGCACCTGTTCTGTGCACCCACTGCTGGGCCAGGGAGCCAAGATTTAAATCTCCAGCAATGCTGCATTGATGAGCTGCTACAGGGCATGGTGAGGAATAATAGTGGCTCCTTCATCCGGCTGGCTAGGGTGCTGCCCCGGGCAGGCAAGCTTGCATACCCTGCAAAGGAAGGGAGGGCTCTGACTGCACTAATCAGTACATCTCAGAGGGCCTTTTGCCAGGCACAGCTTATCAAGTTACATGTGCTGAAGTACAACCATTTAAACATACTACTACTATGATGATGGTGTCACATTTATATCCCGCCTTTTCCCCTCCTGCGAGGAACCCAAGGTGGCTTACTGGGTTTTCTCCTCTTCTCCATTTTATCCCCATAACAGCAGCCTTGTGCGGTAGGTTAGGCTGACAGTTGGGGACTGACCCAAAGACATCCAGTGATTTCTATGCCTGAACAGGGACTAGGACCCTGAGCTCCCCCATCCCCACTCCAATACTCTAACCACTACACCACACTGGATCTCTCATGTCTTATGCATGGGATTGACCTACATTTCCTTCAGTTTCACTGATTTGACATGGCCCTGGCTTAGCCCAGAAGCACTGGATCTAGACTGATGCCTTCTAAACACACCAAAACACACACCAGCTCTCCAGGTGTCTCTTCTTCTGCTCATATCCAACCACTCCCATCTGCACTGCCAGCACAGTTCCTGAGTTTCCTTTTCCCTGAAGCCACTGTGTCTCAGAGTGAAACTAGGCATTGCAAGGCTTTCTACACAAGGCTATTAATTGACTGATAATTTGTTGTATCTACTTTCAGACTTGACACAGAACTGAGATCTGAGTAGTGCAGGGGTCCTCAAACTTTTTGAATAGGGGGCCAATTGAAAGGTTGCGGTGACCATCATGGGCCGGTGAGGCGGAGGAGCCTGGGGGCGCGCGTGGTGGCGGCTCGCTTGCTCGGAGATCTCCCAGCGAGTCCAAAACCATCTCCAAGCGAGCGAGCGAGGCACCGCCTCCCCACCCACGCAGCAAGCGCATGCAAGGGCGGCGATGGCGAAAGCTGGATCCATCCCGTGGGCCGTAGTTTGAGGACCCATGGAGTAGTGTGTGGGGAGTGTTTCTTTCCTTCTTTAACCTCAAGGTGCTACTGTGGTGTAGCAGAATAACACAAATAAACAAGAAGAAATCACACTTTCTTTCACTTTCATGGTTAAATGCTGCATTTTCCTTGCTCCACAAAAACCAACCAGCTGAAAATGTGAATTAGGTAGAGAAAAAAACTGGAGGGTAATGTCATTGCTTAAAGAACCTGTAAATGACCATGAATGGGTGATATTTAACAAGTGCATGATAAATTCCTCGTGTAGAAAAACCCTAGAAGAGAAACATGGAACTTCTGCCCCTTGATGTGTTTCTGATCTCTCTTCCTCCTGGTACTGCACAGTAAAAGATAAGGTGTCATGTGATGCCATCATGTTTTGTTTCCCACTCCCCTCCATCAGCCAAAGACATGAGGCATTACACATTGCTGTGTATGACAATTTAGCAACACCGGAAGCTGCCTTTTACCAAGTCAGGCTATTGCTCCATTTAGATCAGTTTTGTCTACTCTGGCTTTCAGTGACTCTCCTGATTTGCAGAGAGGACTGTTTAAAAAAAAAAAAAAATCCCAGGCCTCCCTGGGACCTTCTCTAGGCAAAGTATGTGCAAAGAAAAAAGGGAAAAAGGAAACATGGACCAAAGGCACTGTTTGTCTCCTGGCTCCTATTTCTGCTCTTAGCTTGCAGAAAGCTTTCCTGGAAATGTTATATGTGTCTTTTTTTGCTTTTGCACCTAGGAATACTTGGAGGGACCATTGTCGTGGCAGAGATCTGAGCCACTGGACTGTTGCATGCAACCTGTGAGGCAAAATGCCAAGCGACTTGATCTCCCACGGGCTGGTTTCCATACTTGGCTCCTGTCTTCAGATGTGATGCCATGGTATGATCTGATTGAGGCCATAGCCCTGTTCAGATCAATAAACCCCTTTTCTAGATGCAGTTGTTTGTGCTTGCTGAGGCCTCTGACGGGTAGGAGAGGCATCAAGGCAGAGCTGGGGCTGGGGGAAACAGAAAGGAGCGGGTGGCCTTTGGTAACTTCCATCATTCCCATCCATGGCAGTCCATGGCCAAAGCTTTGGAGGCAGTGGGAGCTGCAGTCCAGCTCACGTGGGGAGTTACAAGTTCGGGACACAAGCCTGGGAGGGAGGAGCTGGAGTCAGCTGGATGATGTCCTGAGCTCCGGAGCTGGGAGTGCTGGGCGGGCTTACACACATGCTGCACTTGGCCTGATTTTCCAGTCCTTCATTAGCTTGTGTTTTAGGACACAGTGGACCATGGGAATGGGAATAGGTGGGGCCAGTGGGGGAGGGGCTGTCAGAACATGTTTAAAAAGGGGGAAAACCTCACACAATGTGCACAGATCGGTCCTTCCTTCCTAGCTGCATTTATGTGACTGTGGAAGTTTGCAATGGCATGAACGTGGAAATGGGAAAGCACAGCTGGGTCAATGTCCTGGTGGGGGTGGCCAAAGCACAGCAGGCACCAGCCCTGGACATTGACTTCAAGAGGCTCCAGATGTTTTGTTTCCTTTTGCTTTCTCTCGACTGCTGCCAGGGGAAAACAAAAGCATGGGTGAGCTGGGTTTGCAAGAAACGGGTGGTGCCATTTGCACACCATTTGAGGCAAGATCCTCATCTTGTTTCCTTCTGACTGCCCTCAGTGAGATGCAGATTTGCACAGTTCCCCAAGACTGTAACTGCTTTGGAAAGTGCAAAAGGTGTTCCACTCCTTTTTTCCGGGGAAAAGAAGTTTTGCTAGCTAACTATCAAACTCTGGGTTTCCTTTAAGAGCGGCTTTTGACAAGGCAAGGAGTGTTTCTTGACAGGTCCCTCTTCACTGTGGCTCAGACAAGCTTAGCTCATAGTGCAAAACATGCAGTTTCGTCCCCTTGACAGCCTTAGCCGTCATTGGCCAGGCTTTACACAATTACTGTGGCTTGTTTTGACCTCTGTGTATGCTGGCTGCTATATGCACCATTCCTTGTCATGTTGCCCAAATCTGGGCAGCATGGCTTGTTTTAGGTAGAAACAACCCTCTAAAACCCCATCAAAGCACACAAAATGCCTTTTCTTAGTGTAGACAGTGTGTTCTTAACCGCAGCCTCCAACCATCACATTAATCAGGGATTTTAAGTTTGAAAATGTATACACACGAGTTAAGCCCCATTAAAAGTTGTGAAATGGAAGCCCACATTTTATCATGAATTTGCCACCATTAAAACAGCAGCACTGCATATTATAATGGAAAATGTGGTGAGAGAGTTGCTGAAGTTTTTAAAAAATGTACAGTAGTACTAGCACTGCAGGTGAGGCATTTTGCTGTGATGGAATTGGTGGGGAGGTGCAGATCCCCAGCTTTTCTGGCTGAAGAATGCTGCATAAAGAAGGGAGGCCTCTGGCATCCATACTGGAGAGACTTGTCGGGGGGCAGGTATGTGTGTGTGGCTCCACATTATGAAGTCCCCTATCTCTGCTACCTCCTTAAAAGTCTCTCTGGGAAGGGACTCTCCCATGTGGTTGTGTGCAGCAGCTGAAGCCAGGCACCTCCTCAAAGAAAAGCCTCCAGATGGGAGGAGTTTAAACATTTAGCACATTAGAAAAGTACCCAGTGCTGCTTTGACTGCACATTCTGCAAGAAGGAATAAAGGCAGTCCAGAAACATTGCAGAAGTCATCAGTGTATTAAGAATTCAAAGCTGCTTTGACCCTCCTTTTTGTCTTTCCTTTTTGCCAAGAGTCACTCCAGAGGTTCTCACTGTACAGGAGAGCAGCACATCCCAGGCCTTTGATAAAATGGGGAAAGCAGGGTTGGAAATGCTCTTAGGTCAAAATCAGTGTCAGCCCTGTGAAGCAACTGCCTGAAGTTAGATAACCTGAGCCTGAGGATCAGAAATGGGTAATCTGGAATCAAGTATTAGGACCAAACCAGATGTCACATCAGTGGTACATGAAAGAATCCTCCGCCTTTGGTAAAAATTACTCCCAGATTTGATGTGAGGCTGTGGGGGGAGGGCTGAGGGCAGCAGAAGAATGTTACCACATTTCCCCTATAATGTGTCACAGGTCTAAAATGAACTTCAGGGGTGCTGTTACCCACAGATGATTTAACACACAGCACCACTGTGAGTGCCTGTCTGTTTCCTTCTATGTGAGTCATGATCTATTAGATTATAGTCCACCTTTTTTTTTAATAACTCAAAGCAGCTTACATCATTCTCCTCCTCCTCCTCTCAGTCTTATCCCCACAACCACCACCCTGTGAGGTAGGTTGGGCTGAGAATCTGTGATTGGTCCAAAGTCACCCAGTTGGCTTCATGGCTGAGTGAGGACTAGCATTAAAATTGACATGTGGAATGGTCAAAACTCCCCCTTCCCATGCTGCTGCCCTGATCCAAATCCCTCAACAGCTGTTTATTGGAAGATACATGCCGGTGTTCTGTCCACTTTCACCCTTGCAATCTACTCAAGCTTCAAAAGGTTTGTCAAGCTGGGATTAGCATTGCAGTGGAATCATTTTTCTGATCATGGCCAATGAGCAGGCAGAAAGAAGACCTGCAAGTGCCCTCTTTTTCTCCGAGCAGAAGGCCATGTTGTAATGAACCTAGGAATGAGCAGCTCAGGTTTCTTTCAATGAGCAAAGCTGTGCAGTCAGGTGTGGAGGGCCTGTCTGAAGAAGAGCTCATGTTCCTAGGTGACTGACACCAGATGGAACAGAAAAAGGAAGGTGTGTCACCCTGATGCCAACTGGCACGAGGGGACTATTGCTCTTCTCTCACTCACCAACCCTGGGTGGAGAAAAGTTCGCATAGATGCCAAACAGGTGGGGCATGATTGCCATCAGACCAGGTATCAACAGGCAGTCTCATGGAGGAAGACGCATGCCTGGAGCTCCTGCACCTTCTTGGGCCTCTTCTGGCCTTTCGCATGCATTTCTTGGTCTCTGGGCTTCTTCTGTGTTGTTCTAGGGTGCTCTCTGAGAGATTTCCACCGAAAACTTAGTCCATTTCTGGATTGTGTTCACCATGGGTCTCTCTCTGGTGCTTCTCTGCAGCACTCTGGGTGTTCTGCTGGGTTTTGGCTGATCAATAGCTTCTCTATATGAGGCAGCTAATTACTGTATTTAACTTTGGTTTCATCATGGACTTCAGATCTGAGTTCTACCCAACAGTCTTTTCCGTTTCAGCTTTTCTGCTACATAACCTCGGGGTGCCCCTCTGCTATAGTGAAAGACTACAATTACACAAGAAAGAAAGCACCTTTCTTGTCACTTTTGGAAATAATGTTTCATTTTGTGCACTCTAAAACCCCTGGGAAAATGCTCTTAAAAAGCAGAAGAGAAAGTGGAGGATCACCATGCTGCTAAAGAAACTGTAAACAACCACAAATAATAAACATATATTACAGGGATGGTCAGACTTGCTCTACAGATGGTCAGACTTGCTCTACATTACCTACCGCATAGGTAAATGTCAGATGTTTGAGTGCCACAACACATGAACAAATATTATATTATTATTTATATATTGTGACTTTTGTGTTCTTGCTAATCAGTGTACGATTTTTTTAATGTGCATAAAAAGACACAGGGACACCTGGAACACTAACTCTGGGATGCCCTTCCTAAAGAAATGGACCTTTAGAAACAAGTGCTGAAAGCAAATGTCATATTAATAAAAAAAGCTGTTTTTTTTTTTTAACTGTTGGAATCCGAATTGTGTGTGTGTGAGGAAACGGGGGTGCTCTAAGCCCTCTGCAACTCACAAAATAAACTCAAAGAGCTGTATGCAGCTCCCCAGCCTCAGTTTGGCCACCTGATATATAGTATATAAGGAATATATAAAATATTTTAATAAAAATCATGAGTGCACAAGAAATGCCTTGTGTGGAAGATCTGAAAATTCTGGAGGATACAACTTGTACTTCTAGTGAAGAACAATATTTTGGATTGCACCCAGGTCTAAAAATTGTCCTCAACCTGTTCATTAAACCCGTGTCCACAATAAGGATATGCTGTTCTCTTTGGTTTACTGCTTTAGGGTATCTAGCGAGCTTTCCACATAGAGGAATAGGACTTGATATGCAGGCAGGCTTGCAGAAATCCAGCCCCATCTCTGGTCTTTGGACTAAAAGAGCTTCGACCTCCAGGCTGTTTGTATTGTACCCCCAACTCCTCAGCCCACACACATGGGGCTTCCAAATTTCCTGGATAGGAAAGTTAAACAGGCAGCATCTGGATGAGCCAATTTTACTCTGGGGAGCCTCCTCCAAATCATGTCCCTCACTGGCAGGGCAAAGCTATTGCATCCAGAATTTTAGCTAATACCTTCCTGCAGTGCTTCCTTTTGCTGCTGGCTTCAGCAGCCTCTAGGGACGAAACGATCACACAGACAATTGGCAGCAGGTTCTAGAATTTTGCAGATGTTCCACAGAAGAGGGAGGGACCGTGGCCTTGGGCTTTCCAGCTTGGCTTTCCTATGTAAACATCTGGCTGCCCAGACTGGCCTGGCAGGATCCCATCCTCATCTTATGACAGCGAGCCCAGCAGGGTGGCCAGGGCTCCAGAGTTATCGCTGTGAGTGCCCTGCATCCCTGCTTCTGCCTGCTTTAAGTCATAGTTCTGCAGCCTGAAGGCAAGTGTCTCCATGACACACTGGGTGGGAGCCAGGATCTCTCTCCTGTGAGAAGCAGGGACCTGCTGAGAGAAGGCCCCTTTGCCAGTTTTTGGACATCTCCCTCCCTCCCTCCTACACCATAGTTCATTCCATTCAAGAGGGTCTCTCAACCTTATAGCACTTTCAAGATCTGCCATGTGATGGAAGAGGAGGGGAAGTCATCAGCAGATGCTGTCGATCTAGTGGAAATTTAATCTACTGTTAGATGGGGGTGGCAATTTAATTTTGAGGATAACCAAGCTGGGCATACAAATCTCATTCTGAACTTTGTCCCATGATCTCCCTTCTTTTTTCTGGAGCAAGTTCCAGAATTTGTGGGAGAAGTCTCTGACAGGAATGTTTAGTAGAACCTGCGCAACTGCACCAGTAGGTACAAAAACTGGATTTTCCTCAGCCTGCTCCTCTACACAGGGCAAAAGGGGCAGCAGTGCCTTTACTGGTATTTGAGTCCATGCCAGCAGATGCCCTGCCTCTCCAGCCTCTGGAGCTGGCCAGGCGTCTCCTCTGCTGAAATATGAAACAACAGCTGAAAAGAGCTAGACAAAAAAACTGGGCAGTGGTCAAAGGTGGGAGGGACTAGGTTGGCTCAGAGTCACAGGCACTATTCCACAGTTGATTTGTTTATCCCTACTAACTTTAGTTCATTATCGATCCATTATTAATGCATCTATTGCAAATAGTTCTCTCTCTTAAAATGCATGCTTAAGGTTAAACAACTGACTAAACAATTTGTTCAAACCAAAAATAAAATAGAAGAGACGCATAGTTAGCTATGGGGTTGCAACTTGTGCCTGGGATATTCCAGGCACTTTCTCTGGGTCTGTAGCTTTGAGGAGAGGAGAGGAGAGGAAGATCTTTGCTCTCTCTTTTTTTGTGGGGATAGAAAGAAGAAAACAATGCTGTCATTATTACATCAAATTGTTCATGGCTGAATGAAATGTTTAGCAGCAAGGGATAGGTGTGGGGACCCAGCTGGCCTTTTATACCCTAAAAAGCTGCAGTCAGATTAGCCAGAGGCAACTGGGGGCCAGAGGGATGCTCAGCCTTTTCCCTATGTTCTGGTTTCCTCTGGCAACCCTGAAAAAGAATTTTGAACATGCATTTGCCACGCTATGGAAAAAAGCAGCTGCTGGAGGGAGAAGGTTGCAGGGTAAAAACAGTGGATGGCAGGTGGGTTAAGCAATCCCTCTGCACCTGCCACTTCTCCACTGCAACTCATGCCCTCTGCAGCCTTTGATGCTGTTGGAGCTCCAAGAGGCTAGGACCTCATCCAGAAAGTACACCTGCACTGCAATGAGCAGCAAACACATGGACACTTTGCACTCTTTCCTTGAAACATTCTTAAAATAATTTGGCTGGTTGCATAATTTCAGCCATGTTAAGACTGCTTCTTTGTTCAGGTTTACTGCATTGTCTAGACTTGCAAGAGCTGCTTTCCATATAAGTCCTGGCTAGGTGCCAGGCTGCCTGCATTTTCTGCACTAAGTCCTTGGTGCTCTGGGCTTTTGACACAATAACAAAGGCCTAAGAGTGGGTGGGGGGCAGCACTCATTCCTAATAGCCCTCGCAGCGGGTTCTGCATCCATGGCTTCAGCCCGATTTCACACCTTGCCTTACACACATACAGAGCAGCAATGCCAAATATCCATTGGGCCACTGTCTGAAGCTTCTCTGTTACCCCAAAGGGCTCAAGAGGTTGTGCTGCAACTCTGGCACACCAGCACTGAGGACCCACTGGCCCCAGCACCACGTGATCTCATTCTGCAAACCCCTCTTTTGCAGAAAAGCAAGTCTCCTAGACTGCAGAAGATGTTTCTGAAAGAGGAGCAGTATCAGGTGGGGATAGGCAAATGTGAGCTTCCTTGGACCAGCTGCCTTTTTCCTGCAGCTTTACCCACTTTTTTCCGATCTGTGCTTCTTCTGGCCTCAACAGCCAGAAAAACAGCAGAAGAAAAACAATGCAGGGAGGGGTTAAGCACCTGCTGCTTCTCCTCTGCAAAGACCATCCCGTTTCACATGCATATTATCCAGCTAACCTGGATTTGGGAGCCTGTGTTGCTACAGCTACACTCCAGGCCACCTGAGAGTGTAGGTTCTCAGTAGAGGGCCATTTTTGTGTCCTGACATTGTGACTGGGTGGATATTGGACAACTCCAACTCAAAACCATGCTATTGCTCAACAAGATGGAGGCTTAGAAGATGGGTGGACAACTAGCGATCCTCCAGATATTTGGGCCTGCAACTCCCACCAACCCTAGGCAACAAAACTAATAGTGAAGGCTTATGGGAGCTGTAGGTAATGGTCCACAAAGGCTGGACCTTGGGCCCCCAAACACCACATAGGGAGTGGAAAGTAATGAAGGTGTTAGGGTAGCGGGAACAAGCCCCATAGTCTTGTAGTCATGGTGGTACTATGATTTATTCTCCCATTATCTTAATGTTTAATTAGTTTTAATTGTGATTTTATTGTGAATTGCTGGATTTTATTGTGCCATTTTTATCTGTGTTTGTTGTAAACCGTCCTGAGATGCTAGTAATAGGACAGTTTATAAAAGCTTTAAACAAACAAACAAACAAAATAAACAATGTGAGCTAAAAATGCAAACCTGCATGTGCTCAGGGTCTGGAAACTTGTGGTTTGTAACATGTGGTTTGGTAACTTCAGGGGTGATCAACAGTTTGGCCTAACAGAGCCAGTAGGTCAAAGCAGTTGTAAAGCATGGACTAGAGGTTGGGAGGGTGAAGGGGTATGTTAGGCATGCAGTACACCCAGGGAGGCCCCCTGGAAGAACATTCATTACAGTCTCTAAAATTACCTCCCTTCTCCTCCAGGGTTGGGAATAGAGAGAACAACGAGTTGGTGGCGTCCCTGGTTCTAGCCAGGAGCGACCCAGGAGCTGGCTTTTCTCTGGAACACACTGAATCAGGCTGCAAAGCAATTCCAGCATCTGAATGTGCCACCCTGGAAGGGCAGGGGAGGTACTTTCAGCTGCCTGGATCACTCTTAAAATGTAGCATCTCTCTCAGCCCTTGGTTGAGCCAGCCTGCCTGCCTCTCTGCTTCTTTTCTAAGGGAATTAAGCTCTGCAGCCACAAAACGTGTCGTCTCCTTCTCCCATCACATGTCAAGCAGCCAGGACGATGACTCTCATACGACTGACCTTCCTTCTCGCTTGCCTTGTGGCTGCCGTCCAAGCCAAGATCTTTGGTCGCTGTGAGCTGGCCCATGTGCTGAAGAATAATGGGATGGATAATTATGCGGGTTACAGCCTGGCCAACTGTGAGTGCGGCTTCTCAGTGGAGCACATGGTTTGAATCCAAGCATTGAAAGCAGAAGCCTCTGTGTGGATATCTTCTGCTCAGCTTGCCTCTTCCCTACGCCTGATTTCCTGGTCTGTCCACCCACAGGAAGGTGCTACTTGATTCACCCTAGAACCTGCCCCAGATTTTTCTAGACCCCCCTCAACCCACAAGGGCACCTTCTTGGCAGCTTCTGGCCTGTTTTAGGCAGTCTTCAACACCAGATTTTCTTCCCAGATGTGTTGGACTGCAACGCCTTCTTTCCCAGACTTCATGGCCATCCATAGGATGGGGCTGCACCAAACCAAAAGCTGCTGTTTGTCCCTTGTTACTGTTACAGAGTTCCAGAGAGTGGATGTCCCATCTGTGAGAATCCTGGACATTGGCTGTGCCTCATATTCTATGGCATAAATATTCAACTTTTTTCAGCCCAAGGGCTGAATTCAATTTCCAAGCTGCTGCAGAGCATGGGTTTCTGGAGCTACCCATAGGCAATTCCAATAGCATCTGTGAAGTGGCTCTCCAGATAATTTTATTTTTCCCATTTTTAATATATGAACATAGATTTGTATGAAATCTGTAAGCTGTCTAGGAATGATACCTAGGCTTCAGCACAAGAAGACCAACTATCCAAATATGTATCCTTTGAGTCTTTACTGTACATTTAAGCTGATTTTAGTTTGTTAATAGTTCCTAGATTTTATCATATTTTATTGCATTTTGTTGTCTTGTTTTATGGATTATTCTAAACAGCCCAGAGAGCTTCAGCTATTGGGTGGCATAGACATGAAATAAATAACAATAATAATAATTTGAAGATGGCATCTATATGCTACCCATTCATCTGTCAAAAACATGGTATTTAAAATAAGTCCATTGCATTCTAGGAACTGAGTGCTTGTCCTTCCACATTTGTGATATCAGCCTTTTGGCTGTCAGTAGGGTGCAGAGAATCCATTTCCCCTCCATTCATTAATTGTCATGAATCAAATAAATAATTTAAAAGTGTGTGTGCATCAGTGAATATTAAAGACTGTTTCAGTACAAAATTTATCTGTGTAATAACCTCAGAGGCAGCTACTGCATGTTGCCAAAACATTATTTAAAATAAGCATTAGCAGCATCACATCACCAGCAACTAGCTGAATTAGAAAATTCCTTATTAAACAGATGTTATGGTGTTCACTAGACACAAAACAAAAAAGTTTTGCTGAGCTAGACACAATCATAGATCCACAGATATGACAACTAGATGCCAAGGCCATGATTCATGGTGCTCACAGCAGTTTCTAGTGTGAGAGCATCCAAAAAAGTTGGGGAACCTGTCCCTGAGGGCTGAATTCAAGTGGTGAGCCATGCTGAAGGCTAGGTGGAACGGGGCCAAAATATCCCCAATACCTGTATTGTGTTGCTTGAAGTTCTTATTATCAAAAGCACTTGGAGAAGAATTTCAGCTTTCTGGAATGGAGGAATAATACATAGAAAGCAAGAACCTGCCAAATGGAAAGCAGAAAGGGTGTGTGGAGCCAGGGGAATGGGCATATCCATTGCAGGAGGACCAAGTTTGGGTCCCCGGATTGAGGTTTTGCACCCCTGTTCCATGGACTTGCCTGTTTTGGTTTGTGCAAAATGCAAAGGCATTTGAGAGGGGGCCCTTTTTATCTATCTGTTCTGTGCATCTCTTGGAGGGTCTGACCTTTGGTACTGGGTGCTCCTTGTTTCAGGACAGCCTTCCCCAACCTGGCAACTTCCAGGTGTGCTGGACTACAAACCCCCAGACAACAGGCTGACTATGTGTGATGGGATTTATTCATTTGCTGGGCACTGAGTTGTTGGGGAAAGCTGGGCCTGTCTGAGGTACTTCTCCCCTTCCATTTCCTTCTCTGCAGGGATCTGTATGACCTTTTTTGAGACTGGCTTTGACACAGAGGCTGTTGATCACCATAAGGATGGCACCAAAGACTATGGCATCTTCCACATCAACAATGGTTGGTGGTGCAAAGACGAAGACACCATGTCTGAAAACCTTTGCACCATGTTGTGTTCAGGTGAGTCTCTTTCCCCAGCCAGCACTAGAGGGCGGTATGCCACAAGGGACAGGGAAGTGGGTGGCTCTGCTAGGGGGGAACCTCCCAGCCTTTCCTGATAGTGGTGATTAAAACTGGTCACTTTAATTTTTGTAAAATGAAAACAGACAAAAGAAAATGTAATATAGCCCACAATTTAATAGCATGTCAAGCCCTAGTTTAAGAAACATTTTATTATTAAGGATGTACCTGCTCCTCAGTTGTGGCCACTGCTCCAGTTTTAGTGTCGTCTGTGCATTTGATCAGCAGACTGTTCACCCCTTCTTCCATGTCATTAATGAAAAGATTAAACAGGATCAGCCCCAGGACAGAGCCCTGGGGGACCCCGCTTGTCACTGGCTGCCATCCCGATGATTCCCCACTAATGGTTACCCTCTGCTTTCGGTCAGTCAACCATGCCCTAATCCACCGGACAGTGCTTTGGTGTATCCCAAATCTC